ATCACCCTGCACCTCCTGCTATTCATGTGGTCAAGGTAAGAGGGTGGGGAGGTGTCTCCCCAAGGGTCAAGGCCAGCCGTGTTGAAGGGGGATTCAGAGCCTGTGTAGACGTGGAAAGGGAGCGGTGCCTCCGCAGAGGAGACCAGTCTGGGGTAGACACTGAAGTGTGTGTGGAGAGTGTCTTCCTTCTTGTATTCTGACCACACCCGTCCGGGCTTTTGCAGGACAGTGAGCTAATAACTGTTCCCAGGTCTTGTAGGTGGCCTGCGCAGTACAAGTCGCCTTCTGGCCCGCTGGAACTCCTTGCCCAGACTCGAGCTGCCCCTTTGCACAAGAGCCTCTGGGCTCTGAGACACAGGCAGGACTTTGAAGCCTGTCCTGATGAGGCAGTTGGAATCTCCCCAGCTTGTAGGGGTACAGAGGGCCCCTTGTGTGGCTCTAGAGATGCAGGGCCCTTGGAGTAGAGAGTTGGGGCTTGGGAGGCAGGGTGGGAAGCAGCCATGTAACAGCCTGTTGGAGAAGCTCTGAGCAGGAGGTGACTGAGCCACTCGTAGGATACTAGAGGGAACCATGGGGGCCATCCTGCAGACAATCGGCCCTTGTCCACCCCTCCATCACGGAGGCACAGCAACCTTCTGTTCCTTCCGAGCAGGGCAGTTTCTCTTGTTCCAAGACAAGAACTCAAGGAGCCATTCTCTGTTGTCTTGGGCCCATTATTCTGTCTCTGACCTCCAGTAAGCAGATCAAATGCCCTGGGTTACCGTATTTAATCTTCTCAATCTTATGTTAAATAAATTACTTAATGATGCTTATTAAAAGCACATTAATTATTCGAGACCATTGCAATGGGTGTAGGGACCAGAGCAATGGGATTTTGTAGTGAAGGAGAGAGATTGGGCTCAGCTCTGAGTATAGCATGGGCAAGTGGGAAACCAGGGAGCAGGGTGGGGATCGGTGGATGGAAAATGAATAAGGAGCCATCAGGGCGGTAAGGTGGATTCTGGGTAAGCTGACCTAACAGATTCTTACTGAAGGCAGGCCGGGGTGATCGGACATCACCTAGAGCGAGCTCGTCCAACCTGTGGGCCGTATGTGGCCCAAGACAGCTTTGAATGACACCCAACTCAAATTCATAAGCCTTCTTAAAACATGAGATTTTTTTTGCCATATATGTGGATACATGAGCTTATCAGTTATCATTAGTGTTAGTGGGTTTTATGTGTGGCCCAAGGCAGTTCTTCCAGTGTGCCCCAGGGAAGCTGAAAGATTGGATATCCCTGACCTAAGCTTTAAACCTGGTTAGATTGCAAGTGAACAGATAATGGTGATCAAATATCAAGGATGGGTGGTTTTTTTTTTTTTTTTTTTTTTTGCTAAAGCCAGATTTTACACAGAAGGACACAGATGGGCCTAGGAGCCTGACTAAGGTCTGGTCAAACAAAAAAATCTTTGTCACTTATTATGGGCTGCTGAGACTTTTGTTTTTATTTTTTTGAGACAGGGTCTCTCTCTGTCACTTAGGCTGGAGTGCAGTGTTGTCATCTTGGCTCACTGCGACCTCTGCCTCCGGGTTCAAGGATCTTCCCACCTCAGCCTCCTGAATAGCTGACACTACAGGCACACGCCACCACACCTGGCTAAGTTTTGTATTTTTGGCAGAGACGAAGTCTCACTGTGTTGCCCAGGCTGGTCTCAAACTCCTGGCCTCAAATGATCCTCCCAAAGTTCTGGGATTATAGGCTTGAGCCACCGCACCTGGCTTCCATTTTGTTCCACTGCCCCACATCCTCAGAAGCCAGGTTTTCTTACCTTTATCCCTACTGATGTCTGACACGGACACTTCCTTGTTGTGAGGCCATCCTGTGCACTGTAGGATTTTTAGCAGCATACCTGGCCTCTGCCTGCTAGATGCCAGCGGCACTCCCCTCCCCAGTTGTGACAACCACATGCTTTTCCAGTCATTGCCAAATGTCCCCTGGGGGACAAAACTACCCCCAGTTGAGCTCCACTGGTATAAGCAACCTTGACGTGTGCTCTGAGCATCAGTGTGCATTGTCCTTTTTTTTTTCTTTTGAGACAGAGTTTCACTCTTGTTGCCCAGGCTGCAGTGCAATGGCATGATCTCAGCTCCCCACAACCTCCGCCCCCTGGGTTCAAGTGATTCTCCTGCCTCAGCCTCCCGAGTAGCTGGGATTACAGGCATGCACTACCACACCCGGCTAATTTTGTATTTTTAGTAGAGATGGGGTTTCTCCATGTTGGTCAGGCTAGTCTCGAACTCCCAGCCTCAGGTGATCCACCCACCTTGGCTTCCCAAAGTGCTGGGATTACACGTGAGCCACCGCGCCCGGCGTGCCTTGTCCTTTAGGAGAACTTGATACAAGGGAACCCACAGAAGTCTCGCGGCCAATGTAGGGTTGTGTTATACACAACTTGGCAGGGAAGAGGCCACCCCATGTACCAAGGTGTACTCTGAAAGTCCCATGACACCAAGAAAACTTGCCAGGGACTGAAAGCTCAGGAACTTGGATTTAGAGAGAGAAGAATGCATTAAAGGCCTTCATGTCCTCCTCCAAATTAATTAGATGTCTGGCCTGATGAAAGAGATTGAGGCGCGAGGATGCATGAACTGTGGAACACTTTGTATCATTGCCATTTCTTTTTTTCTTTTTTCTTTTCTTTTCTTTTTTTTTGAGATGCAGTTGTCCAGGCTGGTGTGCAATGGCACGATCTCGACTCGCTGCAACCTCTGCCTCCCGGGTTCAAGCGATTCTCCTGCCTCAGCCTCCTGAGTAGCTGGAATTATAGGCATGTGCCACCACACCTGGCTAATTTTGTATTTTTAGTAGAGATGGGGTTTCTCCATGTTGGTCAGACTGATCTCAAACTCCCGACCCCAGGTAATCTGCCCGCCTCGGCCTCCCAAAGTGCTGGGATTACAGGCGTGAGCCACTGTGCCTGGCCAACCATTGCCATTTCTTTATCTTGCCTGGCACAGGGCTCTCAAAGGAGACAGGCTGTCCTTGAGCCATTCTGAGATGTGTCCCTTCACCAGTACTCTGCAGGCACTAAGAATGGCAGTGCCGGGGACAGCGCTGTGTTCTTAGGGGCTGCCCACCTTCCCACCTCACTGGCACCAGCCCTGGGGTTCCTCCTGGGGGGCTCTCACACACCCTCCTCTCTCCTGCTTGAAAAACTGGCGTTGCCAGCCTGGCTCTGCGTCTAAGCCTTTCCTGTCATCTCCTGGGCCTGCCCTGGTTTGCGCCGCTTCTGTGCATTTCTGGGCTCCTGTCCTGCCTGTTGGCACTTGCCCAGCCCTGCACCTTTCTCCCGGCCGTCTGGGGACGGTGGGGGCTGGCCAGGCTGCACCCTGCTACTGTTCTCCGACCACAGTGGGGGAGCCTGTTTCTGGCGGAAAGGGGGAGTTGCAGTGGGATGGAAGTGAGGGGCTGGGTGGAGTCAGGCCAGGGCCCCCTTGCGCTGGCAGCCCTCTGCTGCCCTCCCCCACGTGCCCCGAGTTCCTCCCTCATCTCCCCCTGCTCTCGCCTGTGCCCCTTGCATGCTGTTCCCACTTCCTGGTGAGCCACCTGTGAGTCCCTGAAGACCCAGCTGGAATGTGACCTTTGGGACCTTTTCCACTCTTGACTCTTCTTGTTATATCCCCAGGCCACACCCGTCCCCATGCCCTTGTCTCTGTTTCCTCTCTTTTTTTTTTTTCTTTTTTTTTGAGAGGAGTCTCACTCACCGCCCAGGCTGGTGTGCAGTGGCGTGATCTCGGCTCACTGCAACTTCCACCACCTGGGTTCAACCAATTCTCCTGCCTCAGCCTCTCAAGTAGCTGGGATTACAGGTGCACAGCACCACGCCTGGCTAATTTTTTGTATTTTTAGTGGAGACGGGATTTCACGTCGTTGGCCAACCTCGTTTGGAACTCCTGACTTCAGGAGGTGGTGTGGCCCACCTTGCAGCCTCTTAGAGTTGAAGCGGAGGGTGGGTCTGCTTTGTTTTGGCTGCTCTGTCTCGGAGCTGGGGACAGCCCTTTGCCGCTGGACGTTGAGTCGTGGCTGGAGGTTTTCCTTCTGGGCTCTCCTCCTGCTGCGGAAGCTGAGCAGTAGAAGCGGTGAGATCAGATGGGGCACGGGTGAGAGCACCAAACGGGGTCGGGTAAGCCCCTGTTTCCAGCCCGTCTCTGCAAAGTGCACCTCCATCCCCTTCTAAGGAGCCCCCCACTGGAGACTTCCTGTGCAGGGGGCACGTGAGCAGTGAGGCCTGTCAAACGCCCATGCGCTGCAAGGATGGCTGTCATATAAAAGGCGGAGAAATAACTCGCTTTAGTAGGGGTGTGGTGAGACTGGAAGCTCATGCTTTGCTGATGGGAATATAAAGTGGGGAGCACTCTGGCGGCCCCTCACAATGTTAAACATGGAATTACCACGTGCCCCAGCAAGTCCACCTCTAGGTGTCGACACTGGAAATTGTAACAGAGGGACTGAGGTACTCAGATGTTCGTTGCAGCACTATTCATAATAGCCGGAAGGTGGAAATAGCCCCCGCGTCCATCAGCTCATGATTGACAGGCAAAATGTGGCCCATCCATACAACGAAATACTCATCAGCCATAAAAAGTGGAATGCTGACCCACACCACAACGTAGGTGGGCCTCAAAAACGTGATGCTAAATGAAAGGAGACAATCATAAAAGGCCACATATCATATAATTCCATTTATTTTTAGAGATGGGGTCTTGCCCTTTTACCCAGGCTGGAGTGCAGTGGCACGATCATAGCTCACTACAGCCTTGACCTCCTGTGCTCACGCGATCCTCCCACCTCAGCCTTTAGAGCAGCTGGGACTGTAAACACATGCCACTGTGCCTGGCTAATTTTTACATTTTTAGTAGAGGTGAGGTCTTGCTATGTTGCTCAGGCTGGTCTCAAACTCCTGGGCTCGAGTGATTCTCTTGCCTTGGCCTCCCAAAGTGCTGGGATTACAGGTGTGAGCCACCGCGCCCAGCCATATAATTTCATTTATATGGAACACCCAGAATACAGAAATGCATTGGGACAGAAAGTAGACGGGTGATGACCAGGGCATGTGGGAGGGAAGGATGAGAGGGAATTGCTCATGCACAGGGTTTCCTCTGAGGATGATGGAAATGTTTTTGAACTGTGAGGGTTGCACCATATTGTGAATGTGCTAAATACCACTGTATACTTTAAAACAGTTAATTTTATGTTATGTGAATGTCATATCAATGAAAAGAAAAGAAAGATCTTGACTGTACCCTGTTATCCCTTGAGGGTTTGAATTTCAGGTGTTGGTGTGGACCATGACTCATGCCCCACCCTAGTAGCATGGCCTTTCCCCCTTTGGCTAAATACCTTGGGGGATAATTTACTGTTGCAGTGACTTTGTTTATCAAGGTGCCTGTGCGGGAGAAGGTGGTTGTCTCTCCAGCGGTCTCATTGACACTGGGCTTCCGGAAAAAGTCCAGGGCCAGGAATTAAGTCATAGCACCTTTTACCTCTTGAGAGATTTTGTTGTCATTTCTAACCATGCTTTTTTGTTTGAATCCCCCGATGTACTGGTGCTTGACTTACTCCTTTAATGAGGTTTGTGACAGTGAACAAGGCCCCAGGTCACCTGATGTCGGTGCCAGTCTCTGTTAATGCTCCTCCAGCGCCTCAGACGCATGAGGCTCGTGGGCTAGGATCATACAGGCACGCTCAGTGCTGGGGAGGTCTCGGCCCTTTGCTTTGGTTGACTTGGTTGATAATCACGGCAATCTTCTGAGGCTGGGCTGTGACTTCTCCTGCTTACAACTGGGGAAACTGAGGCAGAGAGCGTTTTAGTAACTTGCCCAAGACTACACAGCTAAGAGGAGGCAGAGCCAGGATCACAAAGGAAAAACTTCCCAACTAGTGTGTAGCAGTATTCTCAAGGTGAGTTAATCAAATACATGTGATTGTTCAGCCTTTGATACATCTTTTCCAACTCTGGTTTTAAAGAATGAATATTTAGATTGATTAAAATACAGATTTTTTGTTCTGCCTCTGATTATATTAGCTTGGGCACTATGTTCTCAAACCCAGACTTTTTGACAATTACAGGTGTGTTTCAGTAGGTCATGGGCGTCAGGATGCGTTTTTCCAGCTTTTTTGTATCAGCTATTAATTTCTGCCACCTTGAAACAATATTAGCCAGGCATGGTGGTTCATGTCTCTAATCCCAACACTGGGAGGCTGAGGCAGGAGAATCACTTAAGGCCAGAAGCTGGAGACCAGCCTGGGCAACGTAACAAGACCCCATCTCTACAGAAGACAAAAAAAAAATTAGCCAGGCATCATGGTGTGGTCCTGTAGTCCTAGCTATTCAGGAGGCTGAGTGGGGAGGATTGCCTGAGTCCAGGCGGTTGAGGCTGCAGGGAGCTGTAATGGCACCACTACACTCCAGCCTGGTCAGCAGAGTGAGATCCCACCTCAGCAACACAAAACAAAAACAGAACCCAAAACCAATATTATGTAGCTCTGATGTGTTTTGACTGCATTTCGTGGCTAAGTCAATATATATCAACTTGACCATGTCATTATCAACATTTATTTTCTGTGATCATTAAATTTTGATTTTTCTAACGTTGTGTCTTTTCCTTCTGCAGAGAATTCTGCCAGATACCAGAACAGATGGGGAACAGCGGAAGCCGTGTGGGGCAGAGCGTTTGTTCACGGTTTCTTCCTGAGGAACAGGCAGAGATTGATCGATTGTTTGATGCTCTGTCATCGGATAAAAACAGTCCGAATGTCTCCTCCAAATCCTTTTCTCTGAAGGCACTACAGGCAAGAGTAACAACCAGTGGTTCGTGTTTAGTTGGGAGCAGGGGTCTGCAGACTGTGGCCCTCAGGCCAGAATCTGCTTTCTTGTTTTTGTAATGCGACGGATGGCAACACTAAAAAGTTCCTTTTCTGTAAAGGGCCAGTAAGTTTTGGCTTTGTGAGCTATGTGGTCTCTGTTGCAGCTCCTCTGCTCTGCTGTTACTGTGTGAAAATAGCCATAGGCAGTGTCTAAACGCATCCCTTCCGCTTTTTGAAATCAATAGTCTCTTATCAGTGCTAAAGAAAAGAACCTGGAGTAGATGATGAATGATTGACACGATGTTTTGGGGACATTTCTAACTTGAGATGAACATCAGGGAAATAGCCTGCCTCCTGTGTCTCTTGAGCCATGTGCCTCCTAACTGCCCTCCCAGAGACGGGGAGACAGACTGGGTGACGGGTCTGCCCTCATGGACTCGTTGGTCCGGGAACCATGACGTGTCAGGTGCACCTGTGCCTCTAGAATGTGTATGTGTTCGATGGCTAGGAATTTTATGATATTCCTAACGAAATCATGACATTTTAGATTCAAGGCTCGTCTTGCGGGGAGTTAAAACTGCCCATTTGCCCATGTTTTTGCCCATTCCACGGGGCTCTCAGCTGCAGGTTTGAGTGCTCAGACTGAGGCAAGACGCTGACAAGGAGATACCGTCAGCTCATCTTCCTGGGAGTCCAGGCAGCCATCCTAGCAGCCTCCTTCCTCTTCTAGAATGTGCAGCGTGGGAGCAGATGAGGAAACTGGCCAGGGAGGTTATCTAGGTCACAGCCGTGTGGTTGTGTGTGCATGTGTTGTGCTTGTGTGTGCATGCGTGTGTGTAGCGCCACTAGATGAGAAGCGCCCCGGGAGGCCTGTGGGAACAAGCAGAATCAGCCAGGCCCATTTCAGACTTCACTGTAGAGTGGGTGTTAATGTTCAGATACATACAGTTAAGAGTTGATCAGAAGACCTTGGTGATGGAATGAAGTTTCCTTGAGGAAAGGATGAGAGGTAGCTTTTCCAGTAGAACTTTGCAGACACTGACAGAAATAGGAGTGCTCATTTTGAGTGGCGAGGGCAGAGGCCTGCCTTCGAAGAGCTGCAGAATATTGATCCTGGAATAAGCAGTGTCCACCCAGCTGGTTGTTACAGGAGAGTCCAGCTCGCAGACCCTGCTGTGCAGGATGTGATTGGCTTGTGATTTGCTCGCTCTCTCCATTTAGTTGTAAATCCAGGACCAAAGCAGATTTGATGCAGGAGCCAAAAAGGAAAACAATATTTCGTTAGAACATTATCGTCCAGGCATTAAGAATTAAATTTGCTGGGTACGGTGGCTCACGCCTGAAATCCCAGCACTTTGGGAGGCCAAGGCAGGAGTATCACTTGAGCCCAGGAGTTTGGGACCAGCCTGGGCAATACAGCAAGACCCCATCTCTACAAAAAATACAAAAATTAGTGAGCGTGGTGGCATGTGCCTGTAGTCTCAGTCATTCAGGAGGCTGAGGTAGGTAGATCAATTGAGCCTTGGAGGTAGAGGCTCCAGTGAGCTGTGATTGAGCCACCACACTCCATCCTGGGTGACAGAAGGAGACCTTGTCTCAAAACCAAAACACCCTAAATTTAAAATTGAAATAAAAATGAATGAAAAATGCATATTGAGCCCAAGGAACATGGACAGGAAGTAAAAGCTGGTATATTTGGAAACCCCTAATACAGAGACCAAATTAGCTGTATACAGACATATGTTAGACGTGTTAATAAATTCCGACATGCAAATAGCAGCTGCTGGAATCTAGAATGAAGATGATTTTCAAAGCAGAGTGAAGCTCAGATGGTGGCCAGAGGGAGGAATGACGAGACAGGAGGGTTTGGAGGCAGGATGATAGCAGATTGTGGGAGGGTCTGATGGCCAAGGTGAGCCACAACCAGGACGCTTAGGTGGTGTGAGGTCCTTAGGTGAGAGAACATCCTGCATCCTGGTGATGCAGGAGTATTTGGTAGCTAACAGCAGCATTGTGAAGTGGCCAAGGCTGGTCTTGGCCCACTACCTATTTTCCTGTGATACTACTGATACGGCTCCCAGTGAGTGGAAGAACACCAGGGTTCTTGGTCCTCATGCCAGTTTAGATAAAATGACATGGACACATGTGGAGTGGCTTTAAGGAGCAGAGAGTTTAATAGGCAAGAAGGAAGGAGAAGGCAGAAGGAAGAGGCTCCCCTGTACAGAGACAGAGGGAGGGGCGGCTCCAGAGCCAAAAGAAGAGGTCCTCAAGTGCGGTGGACACCAGCCAGGTATATATGCAGAGGCTGGAGGAGGTGATGTCTGATTTGCATAGGTCTGGGGATTGGTTTGACCAGGTATGTCATTCACGTAGCCCATGAAAAAGCTGGCCCTTCCACCCTAGCCTTTTAATGTGTAAATGCAGGGGGCCCTGGATGTTCTACACACATGGGGATATGTGGAGGCGGCCATGTTGCCAGGAACATGTGGGGAAAGGGCAGGAAGGCCGTGGGAATTACCATGTTGGGTGGACCCAGTTTCTAATGGACTGCATTTGCATATCAAAGGTTGCCAGCCTGGCTCTAAGAGCTGGGGCTTTACAAGAAACTTTTTCAGAGATGCTTTAAAAAATGAAAACTTCCCAAGCATCCCTTTTCCTCTCTATCTGCCTAAAATAATTTAATAACTTCTAGTTACCAAGTTCAACTCGTGCACTGTCTAACCATTTTCTCTGCTTGTACCCGGCAGAACCACGTCGGGGAAGCTGTTCCCCTGGAGATGGTCACCAGGCTGTACGATGGCATGCGGAGGGTCGACCTGACAGGGAAGGCGAAGGGACCCAGTGAGAATGTGTCCCAGGAGCAGTTCACAGCATCCATGTCCCACCTGTTGAAAGGAAACTCCGAGGAGAAGAGTCTCATGATTATGAAAATGATTTCTGCCACAGAAAGTCCCGTGAAGGCCAGAGAAGTCCAAAAGGTAGGTAGTGAGGCCGCGAGGCCCTTTGCAGCCTCCTCAGCAGTCTTGGTGACCGTCAGTGGGAGATGGAGGCCAGTGACATGGCAGACAGAGGAGTAAACCAAAAAGTATCTGAGATGGGTCTCAATTAATTGAAGTGTATTTTGCCAAGGTTAAGGGCATATCTGGGAGAGAGACCTGTGCCTTTCTCCAAAGATGATTTTGAGGGCTTCAGAACTTAAAGGGGAAAAGTAGGCTGTAGGGGAAAGAGGGAGGGTCTGGTCCCATTACTGAATCCACATTTTGTAAGAGGAAGGGAGCAGTGAGGGGAATAGTCAATGTGTGTTTGTCTTGCATTCAGTAAATCAGCACTTTACATACGATCAGGTGAGCATAGTCACTACCTGTGGAGATTTGATTTTATTTATTTTTTGAAATGGAGTCTTGATCTGTCACCCAGGCCAGAGTTGAGTGGTGCAATCTCAGCTCACTGCAACCTCCGCCTCTCAGGTTCAAGTGATTCTCCTGCCTCAGCCTCCTTAGTAGCTGGGACTACAGGCGTGCACAGGGCTAGGAATCACAGCCCTGTGACTTAACAGCAGAAGGACTTTAAAAGCAATACAAAATGTTACATGGATATGCTAACCTTAATTTTAAAAATTTAAATCTGTTTTCTTTTCTTTTTTTTTGAGACGGAGTCTCGCTCTGTCGCCCAGGCTGGAGTGCACTGGTGCGACCTAATAGACTCCCGCCCTATAGGGCAAAGCAATCACACCACAGCAGGTTTTTGTTTTTTTTTTTCCGCCTTTCTGTAACTGGTCTAACAGATTTTTTGTTTGTTTTTGAGATGGAGTCTCACTCTGTTGCCCAGGCTGGAGTACAGTGGTGCTATCTCAGCTCACTGCAACCTCCGCCTCCCAGGTTCAAACGATTCTCCTGCCTCAACCTCCTGAGTAGCTGGGACTACAGGCATGTGCCACCACACCCAGCTAATTCTTATAATTTTTAGTAGAGACGGGGTTTCACCATATTGGCCAGGCTGGTCTCAAATTCCTGACCTTGTGATCCGCCCACCTTGGCCTCCCAAAGTGCTGGGATTATAGGCATGAGCCACCGCCCCTGGCCAGATTTTATGTGTGTGTGTGTGTGTGTGTGTTAGTCTATTAGTCTATTGCAAAACTAATGAAAATGGTACCTGAATTAATCAGACATAGGAAGAGTGTGTCCTGGGTCATAAAGGTTTTCAGTTTCATAGAACAATTTAGACATATTTTAAAAAGTCAAGAGCACAAAATGTTACATTAGAAGAAAACATTTCTTTTGGATTTTTAAGAGGAAAACATTTTTGGCATCAGGCCACAACAGCAGTTAGAACTTGAGGGGAAAAAAGTTCAGGAGCTGACGAAAAAGTTGAAGGAGGGAGTTGTTATCTCAGGGCTTCTCAAAGAGAAAACAGCAAGATGCAGTAAAAGTTCAACTTTTGGGTTAAAAAAAATTAAAACCTCTTGTGATTTTATTAATCAGTATCTTAAAATAGTCTTGTTTTAACAAATTCTTTAGTGTGATAGTGTATTTTTAATATCTAAGCCTAATTTCTAGAAAGACTTATAAATAATTTCCTTTTAATTACAGCCAATTTGATCACAAAAAGTTTTTTTTCCCAGAAATCATCTTTTTTTGTTGTTGTCTGGGTGACGGGGTCTTGCTCTGTTGCCCAGGCTGGAGTGCAGTGGTGTGATTTGAACTCACTGCAGTTGTCGCCTCCTGGTTCAAGAGATTCTCCTTCCTCAGCCTCCCAGGTAGCTGCGACCACAGGCATGTGCCACCACGCACAGCTAATTTTTTGTTTTTAGTAGAGATGGGGTTTCACCATGTTGGCCAGGCTGATTTCAAACTCCTGAGCTCAGGCAGTTCGCCTGCCTTGGCCTGCCAAAGTGCTAGGATTACTGGCGTGAGCCACTGTGCCCGGCCCCCACTTTTATTTCTTTTCTTTTTCTTTTTTTCTTTGTGTGTGTGTGTTTTGAGACGCAGTCTTGCTCTGTCACCCAGACTGGAGTGCAGTGGCACAGTCTTGGCTCAGTGCAACTTCTGCCTCCTAGGTTCAAGTGATTCCTCCTGCCTTAGTCTCCTGAGCAGCTAGGATTATAGGCTCCCACCACCACACCTGGCTAATTTTTGTCTATATTTTATTTAATTACTTATTTTTATTTTATTTTATTTATTTTGAGATGGAGTTTCACTCTTGTTGCCCAGGCTGGAGTGCAGTGGTGTGATCTTGGCTCACGGCAACCTCTGCCTTCTGGGTTCAAGTGATTCTCCTGCCTCAGCCTCCCAAGTAGCTGGGATCACAGGCATGTGCCACCACATCCAGCTAATTTTGTGTTTTTAGTAGAAATGGGGTTTCTGCATGTTGGTCAGGCTGGTCTTGAACTCCCAACCTCAGGCGATCCACCTGCCTCGGCCTCCCAAAGTGCTGGGATACCAGGTGTGAGCCACCGTGCCCGGACCTATTTTATTTTTTTTAAGACAGGGTCTTGCTCTGTTGCCCAGGCTGGAATGTAGTGGCACGATCTCGGCTCACTGCAGCCTCCACCTCCCAGGCTCAAGTGATTCTCCTGCCTCAGCATCCCACGTAGGTGGGATTACAGGTGTGTGCCACCATGCCTGGCTACTTTTTGCATTTTTAGTAGATATGGGGTCTCATTATGTTGGCCAGGCTGGTCACGACCTCCTGACCTGAAGTGATCCACCCTCCTTGGCCTCCCCAAGTTAATTTTTATATTTTTAGTAGAGACAGGGTTTCACCACGTTGGCCAGGCTGGTCTCGAACTCCTGACCTCAAGTGATCCGCTCACCTCGGCCTCCCAAAATGGAGGGATGACAGGCGTGCGCCACCACGCCCGGCCCCCACTTCCATTTCGATTTGAGTAATTTGAGCTGTCTCCCTTTTTTCTGTTAGTCTAGCTAAATGTTCTTCAGATTTTTGTTGATCTTTTCAATGAACCAACTTTTGGTTTCATTAAAGAGTAGCTGTGTAGTAATAACTTCTTTAGACAAAAGAAAATCAGGTAACACAGTAGAAAAGCAAGGAGCTTAAAAGCTGAGAGGAACCTGGTCTGTTTATACCTTTGGGGTTCAATAAAGAAACACACATGGCCGGGCGCGGTGGCTCAAGCCTGTAATCCCAGCACTTTGGGAGGCCGAGACG